TTTAATTATAACGAGCTCTTTAATATATTTCTCGTTCACGCAATAAATTTATCGCGAGGATACGCGAGTTTTGCGATACGATTGCGGGACAAGTTTACTCACGATCGATATCACGAATATCTTGCCTCAATTCGAAGTCAAGACATATACAGAGGATACATCTCTCTTTTTTTTTTTTCTCATAATAATAAACTTTGTGAGTTTTAATATTTTCTATTGGATCACGTTTTTCTCTCTTTGTTTAACACAGTAATGTATTAATTTTTTGAATAATATTACAATTGATGTGTGGGCTTATAACGGACGCTTTGTGGGAATATTATTTTGGATATGTGACGGCAATCACGTTTCGAAACTTTCACTTGTGACGTTGCTCGCGCGGGATCTTGAAAATCTTTTGAAAAATCTCCCGAAAAATCTCTAACATTTCCGGAAATAAGAGAATTAAATGCCCGTCACATCTTCGTCTGAAAAATGTTAAATGTTGTTTTAATATCAAACACAACAATGCAATTTATGTCAAAAATTCCGGGGCGAACGCGCGCGGCGAACAAATTCCAAGCAAAACGAAAGCTTTATAAATGTCGGCTCGCACTGTCTCGAAATTCGAAACGTACATTGGAAGAGACGAATCCGAGAAAGAGGCGGCGCCGATAATAATCCTCCAATAAATGGCGAAATATTGAAAAAGTAATGGCAAGCTCGTCCGATGCGCGCTCGCGCGCGCGGATGTGAGAAATACGAAAGCGGATTGTAATAGAAGTTATGGAATTTCCGTGTAATCGTCCGATAAATCCCGTCGTATATGCTTAAAAAGAAATATTGTGTTTAAGCTTAATTCGGAAGTGAGTGTGATAAAAATTGATGATACTGCTCTCGTATGGTTAGCGCCGTGGTCTCGTAAATTTTGCATAACGGCGCGCGCGATGCTACGCGGGGAAACAAGCGCGGGTTAGCTCCCGGAGTCTGACAGCTCTCGGGAAAGGATCGATAAGCAAGAGCCGGTTTCTCCTTCGAGCTATCGAGCTATGCTATGGCGGGTTTAATCACGTTCCACCGCGCGCTAAGCTTTAATTGTTTACTCGCGCTCGTTACGTCACTGTGTTGCGTCGCAATTGTATACGTACGGCGTGCGATATTAATTTATTAACAAAATTAGAAACGCGCGGCTTCGGTATCTTTTGTCTTTTTTTTTGTTTTTGTTTTTCTTTTTACTTGTGACAATTTTCTTTGAGTTGCGTGTTGTTTCTCTTAAATTTATTTATAAATAGATACGTAGAAAATATTTTACACACACAATCTTTATTTCACTCGGAAAGTATCGGTGTGTTACGTCGAGTGTTGTTCGAGTTTGTCCGAAATAAAAGTGCAAATTATTGAGATTGGTTTCTCTATCTTTCTATCTCTCTCTATCTCTCTCTCTCTCTTTCTCTTTCTCTCTCTCTGGTCTCTTAAATTTTGTAATTTCGTTCTAGTGGTAGATAGTTTTCTTGGATATAGCGATTCAAATGCGACTCGCGCGCGTTAGACTTTAAATAATTTATCTTCGGAATCGTTGCTATAACAATACAATGTAATTCCATCGTTAATCACAATTATACTTCGCGTTTTTTTTTTTTTTTTATATATAATCAATCAATAATCATATATATATATATATAATTATATATATATATATATTTATATATCTTTTACGCATTTATACATACATAAATATGATAATTTTAACAACTACAACTTTATAATAGACTTTTTCTAATATTGTGTGGCATCTCGGTAATTAGTAATATAAATTTGCTTTATATAGAATTATATATAAATATAAAACAATTAACAGAGATAATAAATATATATTTTTCGAGTAGCGAAACTTTGTTTGAAAATAAAATCGATTGACGTCGCACCATATACTTTTTATTTTTCGCGATCGAGAATTAAATCATTACTTTTTTTTTTTTTTTTTTCATAATTTATACACATCTAATTCTATATACGCATGTATTTCAATATCTGTATCTCAATATCTGTCGAAAAAGAGTCAACGTAAAAAAAAAAAAAAAAAATTAATGATTAAAAATTATTTTTGCACAAAGGTTCATTAACGAAAAATCGTAATAAATTTAATTACAGTTTTGACAGAGAGCTTGTGATCGATGACTGATTTTCTTAATCCTAAATAACTACAGAGGAAACATTTCGAGAACGGCGAGATTGAAATGTGAAATTGTCACGGTACATTGATTTCGCGCGATATTTGGTTCGACAGTTTAAATCCTTGTAGCGGTTAAACACATGACGATTCACTACTCAGCCATTTTCGCGGTGTCAGCTCGATTGCCAACACCTATTGTCATTTTACATTTTTGCTAAAGGAAATATGTGTACGATGCATGCATTTTTCTATCTATTCTCAAGTGTGTTTCTCAAGTTCGTACGGAAAGAACGGAAGAAGTGAATTCTCGTTCTCACATGGAAACACACAGATTTTTTTTTTTTCGTGACGTGTGTGATTAGTTTCGCATCGGTTAGATCAGAAACGACAGATAAGAGAAGTCACATTTTTCTCCCCGCAAGATATTCAGTCAGAGACTTTTTATTCTCGAAAGCATTAAATGCAGAAAGATAATGCGAATTTAAGTAATCGAGAAAGTTCTGCGTTCAATACTTCAGGGAATAAAATTGTCGTTAAAGCGCAATAAATTCATTTGAAAACAAACAAATCTTTACCGCTTCTGATCACACGTTAATTTTATTCAAATTGAACACTTAGATTTTTCGCCTAAAATTACGAGCGCGAGGTTCCGAAAAAACATCTCTCCTTCGATTTATATTGTTTATCGCAAAATTCGATAAACGAATTACTTACGTAAAAACGGTGTTGTCCGACTCTTTATGTAACATTTCAATAAATTGTCAAAAAACAAAAAAAAAACACTCATTAAACTCGACAACTCGTCGGAGCGAAAAGAGAATCTTTTCGGAACTTTCGCGAAAATTACAATTACTTATTGTAAATACACGTATACAACGTTGAACCGGTCTTAAGTAAGTTTTATAGATATCGACTTTCGGTAACACGCGTGCGGAAAATTTTTAGCGCGATTTTCTTCTTCGTTCATTTTGTAAAACTTTTTAAAAGCTTTTAAAAAATGTGAAAATTGAATGATAAAAAAGACCATGTATATTTATGTAATAAAAAAGACACGGTGTAGAAAGATATGTTACATTTAAATATTACATTAGATAGGGGTACATTCTCTTATCGTCGGTATTAATATTAATTAATCTTGATTGACATTTCGAATAATTGCACGAAAATCAAAATTCACGCAAATTTCTTCCCCCCTCCCTCCCCGTCCGATCGATGGATCGATCGCTATAATTGCCGACGATCTCCTGAGAAAGTATTTGGTTGCATTACGTACGTACTGTTACCTGTTTGCGTGATTGCTTGAAAATTCCTGGCGCGAGCTCCAAGATTTCGGTGATTTCGTTAAGCGAAGAAACGACGCCGACGTCGCGACGGCGTCGCGACAATCCCGAACTCTACGTGACTCCCGAGCTATAGCGGAATAATAATACGGGGTGTTCGTGGAAGAGAAAATCGAAGGAGACTCTCTCCGCCGCGTATTTTCCGAATCTCCAAAAGAAAATTCTCCCTCACGACAAACGATAGTCTCATAAAATCAAATGTTCTCGAACACTTCGTTCTCGAAACACGTCTCAACGTGCGACAACGCGCGCAATAATAGATTTCGGTGTCTTTTTCGAGTGATTTTCAACCAAACACCCCGTACGCGCGCAAAGATCGCGGAACAGGATGATGAGGAAAGGGGGAAAAACGGGGCAAGTCTCGGGGAAACTTCTTCCCGCGAACGAGAAACGGCATTATCGCCAGACAGTTCCGCAATCTGCATGAGGTTGCTGCTGCGTCGGTGGAACTGAAATCGTCGAGAGTGCATATCTCACTCTTCGCTCGTTTGACACACACGAGGGTCGCGCACGATCCCGCGAACTCCTCCGGCGCGGCCCGCTATTTCGCCGCTCTCCCCCCACATAATCCAACGCTCCGGATAGATCGACGAGACACGCGAGCATCGGGTTGTGTTCACCGCGATAACTCAACTCGAGAGAACTTTCCTTGACGGACAAGTATCGGGCGAAAGAGGAGAGGATGGGAGAACCAGTATAGTGGGTGTTCGGTTCAGAACATGCTTCAGCGTGGTCAAAGGGATGCCGACGAACACCAAAAAGCGCGCGCGCTTTTCTCTCTTTTTTCTCTCTCTCTCTCTCTTCTCTTTCTTTCTCTCCATTCTCTTTACGTCAAATATCGGAAAAGTATTTGCGGAAAATCCTTCGGCGTGGCGCTCGCGAGATTTCGATATTTCGCCATTCTTAATCTTCTTCTGTTACGGATTTCGTTCGGAATTTCACCCCCCCGTTCACAGGAGCGAGGACCACGTATTTTTCGCAGCGAGCGCTAAGTAGTGTTGATCTTAACAACTTTGTTCAAACTTTGAAGGCGCGCGAGTTTCTCTCTTTCTTCATCCGTTGCGACGACGAAATCTGTTTCTGCGAACTCCGAAATGTCGCGAGGGAGAAAAGGTAATTCGCCCCCCGCGGTAATACGCAGAGAGAGAGAGAGAGAGAGCAAACGTTCGGGAACAGAAAACGATTATTTACTTAGTTACGGGGGAACAAGTGTATTAAGTCCGGCCAAAACATGTATTATTAAAGATAAAAACCCGACCCCGTAGCTAAGCCCTACCCCTCGACGGTAAATCCGTCGCAAGAAAAATCCGTGCTGTATATAAATGAAGGTTGCTACCTTGATACGGCGGGAAAAAAAATTAACCCCACAGTGCACATGTTTTATACGCGGCGTGGGAAGGATAAATATATTTGCGCGCGGCAAACTTTTCCACACACACACACACACGCGGACACACACACACACACATAGAGAAGAGCACTTTTGATTAAAAACTTCGGGGGGGGGGAAGGGAGGAGAGCGACGAAGAGAGCGGCTCGCGATGTGTCCCCGATGTCCGGGTGGAAGAGAAATCGCCTAATGGGTAATTCATTCTCGGGATGGGAACAAACGACGGGGGGGAACGACGTCGGCTGAAAAATATTCGAGTGGCCAACGGGATCGCGCCGGCTTCTCGGGGAAAGAAGATTCCCGGAGATGCGAGAGTCGCGGATGATATCGATGTTTCCCTCCTAGCGCTCGATTTTGCTTCTCTGGTGGCGTTTTGATCCTCTTAAGAGGAGGGAGGGAGGGGTTCACAAATTCCCCGTCGACGGGGGGGATGTTCGTTCTTTTCCGCGTGATTACTTCAGACCGGCGAACGCTGCGGATTCTTTTCTAAAAAATCGCAATTCCGTTATTCGCGATGTTGATCGAATTATCGACGATAAACGACGATAATATTAAAATTACAACTGTGGAGAAGAAATCTTCGATGTGTTCGAATGTCCGTCGCGGCGTAAAAACGGTCACTTCTTGGATGCGATGGTTGTTTCTCGAAAGAAACCAAAAAAAAAAAAAAGAAAAAAAAAGAAGAAAAAATTTGATACGCGCACGTGAAACGTTGTTCAAAAACTGCGAGCGTTTCCGTTTTTGTAACATATATTCTTCGCGCGTGTATATATATATACACGTTGACAGTATATATCTATATATACAACGGAAAGCGGAATATTCGTAAACAATAGGGAAAATCCGTAAATTATACAGAAAATTGCTAACTGTACAGCGCGCGCTGCGCGCGAGACTTTTCGCGAGAAACATAATTAATGTGACGTGTGCAGCAAGTGCAGTCGACGGATTTCCGCATCCGGGCGATGTTTGCGACTACTGTTTCTCACGCGCGGAGCATCCAAAGTGTTAATAATCGTGCTAATTAGTCGAGAAGACGCGGGGGATGAGAGGGGCGAGGGGGGGGAGGGTGGTGAAGAGACACTCGAGCAGCTGTGGCGATTGTGTGTGTCTCTCTTGGAGGATTGATCGTCCTAAATTTTACTACTGCCAGGACCTGACGAGAAGACTCGACGAGATAAGACCGACTATGGTCGTCCAGGAGACGAGATCGAGGGTACATCTTTTGGATCCGGCCTCGCCGTTGACGCAGGTCTCCCTGATGCTGACGGGTTTGAGACCCCGACGAGCGAGCAGATTGTGAACGCCTCGTTTGTCGCTCTTCTGCATGGTGTGCTGGCGCGACAGCAGGAGCGAGTAGAGCTGGTCGTCGTAATAACGGGAGCAGAAAGTCAACACCATGTCCGAGGCGACGGCCTTCATTACGTGAACGGTGCCCCTGAACTGCTTGTAGCCGCTCTTCTGCGTCATGGTGCCTGAAAATTAAATCAACACCCGGTTAAAAAGCAGCGACGCGACATATACGCGCGCGCGCGCGCGCGCGACACAAACGAAGCGAAGTCTCTCTTCTCTTCGCGCGCTATCGAATTTCCTGTTCCTCGAGTCTACTCGAGTTGTTCGCTACCTACCACCGTTCCGCGTTGCGCGCGGAGTGGAATCTCTTGTACAAACGGAACTGTCGCGACTGCAAAAATAAGGGTCTGTCGACGACGATTCCATTTTTGCAAAGTAGTCTTATTTTTCTGTGAAGAACGCTGAACGTCTCTCTCCGCGAGAAACAGAGGGAAGAGTACGGGAGCCAGAGAGAGAGAGAGAGAGAGAGAGAGAGAGGCGGTAACATAGTATAAAATCTGTTTCTTTTTTTATTATTATTATTATTTTTTTATTTTATTTACAAAAGCAATCCGCGTGTATCGCCAAAAAAAAAAAAAAAAAACAAGAAGAAACTCGACGACGATTTATATATGAAGCGCGCTGGTTTTCTTCCCGGGACACGTTTCTGTCTTCTTCGCGCGCGCTTGTCGTTTCTTAACAAGACATAAACAATCTCGCGTCGCGGGACTAGTCGTAAAAAAAAAAAAAATCTCGACACGTATATTCGAGAATCTTGCAGATTTCTCTCGGTTAAATTATATTAATGGCGCGAATGATAGATGAGATTATTTTTCGGCCGTAAAAAAGCTCTTCGACATATAGATATCTAAGATCAAGCTGGGAAAGCACGACAATAAAGAAGGATCAAGCGAGCAGTAAAAGCTTGACTTTCCAATTTCCTGTCACTGTTCCAGCGGCGAGGACGAAGAAATATGTAGTCTATCTCTCCGCACCCCCGTCTACAGTCTATATACGTACACATATGTACGATACATCATATCGCGATACTACACGAATCGTATATATAGTATATATATATCTTGTGCTGATAAATTGAGCTTTTTAACGTCTGACAACGGGACGATTTCATCGCTCTCTAAGGAAGCTAATGAAAATGTTTTACACGCGTGTTAACACGGTGTTATAGTTTATTATATCAAATTGAAATAGAGAGAATATATACATATACGTCACACACAAGACGTACTCTCGCGAGTCGTAATCCGCTTACGCGTTTATTGCGAGAAAGCAATCGAGCACGTACTCGAGTAATGAGCGTTGAGTAATGAGACGCGAGTGCGGCAACGAGAAGCGACGAGAGAAATAACGTTACGGAAATTAAAAAGAAAATATTTCCTCGTGTGGCGAGCGCGGCGGCAAATAACGGGGCGCGTAAATATACCATTGTATTTAGTACGTCATTTGTCATCCCGGATCCCGGATCGCACTTTTATTTTTTTTTTTTTTTTCCGAACGCATTTAATCGGTCGCTAAGTCGCCCGCTTTGGCAAATGACAAGTTTCAACCATTTTACCCTCCCTCCCCCGTCGTATCCAGAAACACGATCGACTCAACAAACCGCGCGACGTTTATGATCTAACGGAAAGCGTGTGTGTATTTTATTCGAAACACGCGTTTATGAAACATATGTACGTGAGAAAATAATACATATGTGTACGCACGCATGAACTCGCGCACACAGACATATAACGTCCATTAGACGTCTAATGGACGTCTATAACTCCGAGCGACGTCTAATGAACATCTAATGGAGGTTTGTATGGGATGTGTTGTGTCGTGTTTGTGTCGCGCGTGAGAACTTTTCGGACCCCGCGGAATATGGAACGACCGATGTTTTATTGAAACCCCGTCGGTATAGCGCGCAATGTCAATTTATAAAACTTTTTATCCTCCCCCCCTCCCTCCGTTTCTTTCCGTTTTTATAATCCGCAGGATATTTTGCTGGAAGAAAACAAAAAAATAAAGAAAAAAACACACGCGTTGTAACGCGCGAGTTTTCTTTTCGTTTCGCTCACTTACGTTGCACTTCCCGAACGAGATACTTGAGATAAGGGAGACTGGTTGTGACACGGGTCAAAAAAGTTACAACCTCAAATTAGCGATGAAAAATCATTGCAACAACGATGACGTTACTGACGCGTGACAGTTGTCGCGTTTGTCTCTTTTTAGCTTCAATGTAGGCACTAATTTTTTTTATCACTAATCAAAGCTCGTAACTTTTTACCCGTGTCGCAATCAGCCCCGGTCTCCCCTGATTGGCAATTTTTTTTTTTGCAAATAATTTTGATTACAATTCCACTTGCCGGCGCAATTTACGGAACGGATTCGATAATCGCGTACGACAATGCGAGACGTACGACGTGGACGTGGAAATATGTAATATTACGGCTCAATTACGCAGTTGAGAACGCACTTAACGTTATGAAGGGAAATGTGACGGGAGAGACGAGACGTCTGTCACGTCTGTACAATCTATATACGCTCGACCAATATATAGCAGCGACCGGCAATATATGAAGCGATGCATTCCATGTGTGTGAGAGGGGAGAGGGGAGAGAAAAGGGAATCATCGCGCGCGCGATGCTGGAAAATATTTCATCGCGGATGCCACTTTAATGCTCAAGCGTTTAAGAGAAGCATCCGCTTTGTAGAAAATAATCCGCTTACGTACAAGAAGGTGAATATATTTTTGTCGGATCGGTTATCGTTAATCTCCGATTCATCTTTGATAACTTCGGAATCGATCTTTCTTGTAGGATTATCTGAGAATCTATAGAGACCCCCGCTCTCATAATTCCTTTCTGCCTATTATACGCGCGAATTTGTATGCACGGACACAGAACGTTAGCCGCGTTTAAGTGAATGATCTACTTAGGAGTGAAATGATTTTTTTTTTTTGTTTTTAAAAACTTGATTGCGATTTGGAAAATTAATGAGGAGCGGCGGTGAGAGATGCTTCAGTGGTGCGTATATAAATTCTTTATATTTCAGATTTCTAATAAATAACAAATAGACGTTGTATCATAATGAGAATGAGCTGTAATTAATATATATTAAAAAATATTTTATCTTAGTTTATTTAATATATTAACGTATTGATCTTAGTTTAGCAGAAATCTCTCGATAAATATATCGCGTGTCTTATCTCTTTTCTCTTCAATTTTATGCTCTGTTAAAAATTTGCACATGTACAACACGTGTTATATTTTTTGTTATTTGTCGCTCGAAATCATATAAACAAAGCTGATCGAAATGACATTATTGGACGTTTGACGTAGACTACGCGACATATCGATCATTATCAAAAGCAAACCACATCGCGCTGACAATTCACCGAAATGACAGTTCAGCGAAGCGATTGTGAAACGACATTAATTGCGAAACGAGATTGTTTCTGGCTTAATAATCGAAAGCTGACACGTAATTACACGTTCCGTCTAATTAGATATTTATCTCCTCTCGCGCGATCCCGGTCCTTAACTTGAAGCGCTTCGCGCTCAAGTCGCGAATAAATTAAAACGACACGTCGATATATAATTACACGCGCTCACGCTTAATTGCGCACTTAGCCGCGCCGGCGTCACGTTATCGTCTCTCGGTAATCGCCTCGTCGTCGATAGAGATACGTCGTTGTGATTAGTATTCAAATTTGCTCTCAATATCGCGTGATACCATCATTACATTTTGCTAACTACAGTAACATTGTGTACGTTGTCCCTCCCTCGAATTGAGCGGCGCGCAATGAATAGCAACGTAACGTTGTCCCTCTTGTGCGCGCATGTAAACAATTATATATTAAACAACATGCCTTATCCATGAATAAACAGGCGTTATATAGTATTAATCATAACTCGGAAAATCAATTAGTCTAATGCTCGTTTAAATTTCTATATTTGATGAAACAACGGTTTAGCGTTTATAATTAATCGAGTAAATTTTTCAGATAGAGATATTTTTTTACGATATTCCTCGCAAACCTCGCAATTTAACTTTTATGCCATTTTTTTTTTTTTTTCCTACAATCCTTTGATTCACGATAAATATTTTTCTCAATAACTCCCGTGAGAAAGAACAATATTGTCGTTCTCGCATGCGAGTTTCGAAAACTAAGTCTCTCTCTTCCTCGCGGCTAAGATAAAATATCCTTACATATATTTTGTGCGACGAGTTTAAAACAACATAACTACGATTCTTTGAGTAGAACGGGGCGCTTACATCGATACATCGATTCGCAGTCGTCGTTTTTTTTTTTTTTTTTTTTCAACGTCAAACAGTCCGATCGCCGAGAGGTAAATATGTCGCGCAAAAATTTATTAAATTCCATCGAAAAACTGCCCCAGATCTTCCTTTTTAGTGCCCAAAGTAGTACAGCAGCTGCAGCTCTGATGAGATTCCCGGGCCGAAGTCAAGGGAAGTTAAATTTAGCGAGAGGAAGAGATGTCGGGGGGGACAGAGGGATGGTGGAGAAGAAGAGTAAGTTTTCATTCCGCCGTCTATAAAACGGCAAAAACATTCTCGCGCGCGGCGAATCCTCTCGCGAAGCCCTCCCTTGCGCTTCCGGTTCAAGGAGCGGTTAATGCACGGAATTGATTTAACTTTCCGTAATAAAGTCGCGCGCTTATGTTGTGCCGGCAAAAAAAAAGTATAAGCGTTGATCGCGCTCCGTCTGTCTTCTTTTCCCTCATCCCTGTTAAAACACGGCTCGTTACGTTTCGCATAATTATACACAAGTTTATATACAATTTTTATCTGTTTTTTTTTTTTCTTTTTTTTTCGTACAGTTTCCGTCCGATGTCGTCTCGAAATTTGAAGATTTTTTTTAACAACAACGTGAACTAACTTGATTATCGACGTGTACGTCGTTTTAAACTTCGCGTTTGCACAAAGAAAACGCGCGCGACGTGTGCAAAAAAAAAAAAAAAAAAAAAAATTACTGAAATAATAATATCGCGTGCTCATTAGTAAAATATTTTTTAGTATTTTTTCTCTCTTTCCACAGCTGTCTCCTTTTTTTTATCCGGTCTCTAATATAGAATATTTCCCTGGAATTCTATTATAACCGGAATTTTTCTGCCTCGATATTGAAATACTAGGTCGAAATTGCTTTTAACGAGAACTTGCTAACGCGAAACGTCGAAATTAACAAGTTGCTTTGCAGCAGTATTTTTAACATGAAACGCAATCACGCGCGTCCGCACAGAAGAATTATATCGGGGGGGGGGGGGGGTGCAGCGACAACAAATAAACCCTTTCGTAAACACCATTGACGTTTGATACAATCTTCAGTACGACAAATAATTTTTAGTCCTTGTGTGAATACACGTTCTTCCTTCCCTCTCTCTCTCTCTCTCTTTCTCTCTGTAAACAATCCGCGTTTGCGCGGTTTCGACTTGAATACAACGCGAGGAAAACTTGTTCAATCTCCTCCCGCTTTACGGTCTATATACATACACATGGAGAAACGCTCATTTCCAGGTGTGCGTTCGCCGAATGAAGATGCATTCGCGTGAGAATTAATATGAGAGCGAACTTTGGAGTAGCAGTGCGCTGCCGGTTTCCCCGATGGCCGCGTCGCGAAGTTGCAACGACTCCGCAAACAACATCCATACGTCAATCGACGAGCGTACTTCTTGCGGATTCTCCGCGATGCCGGTGGAACGTATTAACCTTCAAGTAGCGGCCCGTTTTCAGTTTTCGGATTAGCGCGATGCTTCCGCGGACTCTGAAACCCCAACTCCCGCGGAAACCTCAATCCGCATTGCGCGTTTTCGTTCGTCCGCTCGCTTGCTAGTTTCGCGCGTTATTATACCGGATTCCCCGTGTTTGCTGTTGAGGCTGATAACGAAGAATATAGCCGGGACAGAAGAAGCCTCTCTAGCGGATGCACGAGAAAAGATCGGGAGAAAGAGAGAGAGAGGCAAAGAGCGGACAGAGGAAACTTGCAGAGTCGGCCGGAAAGAAATTAAAAAGAGCAGATGGCCGTGCGCGACTTTTGAAAAATTATTTTCCGCGTCGCCGAGCGCGTTCTTCTTCTTCTTTCGTGACAAATTTTTCGCGTTCCCCTCTCCTCCCCCCGTCATTTTCCCGGCATTCGTAATTGGATGCCTCGACTTTACTGGCTTAAACACGACGACGGTTGTGAGTTCTTCTTCTTCTTCTTCTTCTTCTTCTTCTTCTTCTTCTTCCCTCACATCGGCCTCGACTGACGGTTAACCGATAATCACACAGACGAATTCTGCACGAATTCATTAAGATCGTTATCCGGGCCGTCTTGTGATTTTAATTACCGTTCCGGGCGAATTGAACCTCGGTCCGCAATTGCACCGATGTGCGATGTTCCTTGGGTAGAGTATTGGCAGTTTTAACTCGACGAGATAATCACGTTCTGTGTTCGACTTTCTAGTTCGATTCTCTCTCTCTCTCTTTCTCTGCTCATTTGTGCGTAATAATTAATGGTGATCACAATTATTACTTGTTATCATTATATTATCTTGGGATCAAACAAATGATCCACAAACGAGGAGATCGAAAAATCGGTTTCGCTTGTACGTTTGATAACGATTCGATATGTTACGTTATCTAACTTTGTATCAAAGAATATCGCATCTCGAAGGTGAGCCGAAGGTGCGTTTGTTCCACTTGTTTTAGAGCCTTCTTGTGTTTCGAAGGCTTTGCTTACATTCCTTTTAATTTACTCTTTTAATCCGTCCGGTTGACGTAAGCACGGTTGAGAGATCAAAGTCCGGGGGTCCGGTCAAACAGACACTTTTATCGAGAACCCGATGTTAATCTCCGCACGTTCTCTCACTCTCTCACCGAGTAGTATCTTTGTCTTCGCTCTCTCGCAAGTTTTATAGTTTTACTTCTTCGCTTTGTTTTTTTTTTTTTTTTTTTTTTAGTTGTCTATTTTCCTCCCTCTTTCCGCGATTCTCTCATTATAAATATCATTTACTTTCTTACCGCGAGATGTAGCTTTGTTACTTTATATATATATATATATATATTGTAACTATTTAATTTCGGTTTTTCTTTCTCGGCGAGAACGAACCACCGCGGTTATATATCGTCCGGCGCAAATTACCATTGTGTCAACTTCGAATGTAACAAGGAAGAACGTGGAATCGATTCGAGATCCAATGAAAGGGAAAATACGCTTGATCTCTCTTACCGCATCTTTTCTCCCGGTCCCGTTTCAAAGAGACAATATATATCGGATCTCGCAATCAATCTTCTTCTTTCGCTCGCGCTGTACAGCCTTGCGCGTTTAAAGCCTTCTCCTTCTTCGCTCTTCGAAACTTGGTCGAGAAATAAACGTTAATTCTTTCTTGCTATATATATATATATATATATATCTCGTTGACTACAGGTGTTTGTCTTCGTTTGACGATCGGTTCTAAGAACGTCAATCGGTTCTAAGAACCGACCTAATGGCACGTTTCTAATGCAAGTTGCGCGATCAACTAACCCTCTCCGAGGGGGTCGGAATCGTTAATCCAATTTGCCTCGCTCTCTTAGCGCGAAAGGGAGTGAGAGAAACTTTTGTCCGTTGCGCGCGATCGATTACTCTCGGACTCTGGCTTATGATAATCGCTCTCTCTCGGAAGAACTTCGAACTTTCGAAGTTTGCAAGCACCGTCCGATAATATATATATATACGCGTATTATATTTGTTTTTCCGCTGTCAAAACAGGAGAATATCTATTGCGCGACAAAAAAAAAAAAGATCGCAATCGTCGTTGTGTGAAAATTTCATTTTGAATCACAAAAGAAGACGTTGTACAAAATAGTTTTGTTTCTTACTTTTCATCAATCTTTCATCTCTCTCAAACTTTATTCCTATGATTTTTCTTATCTCATCAGAATGTTATAACAGTTTCAAAAGTAACAGTTGGTTTTTCCTCAGTCTTTTCTCTTTGCAAAAAAAAGGCAATATTATAAAAGAAATATACATAACTCGAGAGAGTTTGTTGTATGGCTTATCTTTCAAGCAGCTGCCGCCGCTGCTGCTGCAAGGCTGATGTATTTCTTTGGTTATAGACAACGGATCAATAAAATCCGGAACACGCGAAAGAGAAGAAGAGAGACGGGGCGGGAGGAGAGAAGAGAAAAGGAGATGATGAGACGCGCGGCGCAACACGTTTTCGTTGCAATTTGAAAACAAATTGAAAAATTCTTTCGTCGACAAAACCAGGCCTTTAATTTTTTGTTCGCGAGCAAGCGGGATAAAAAAAAAAAAACGGCTGTTCGAAGATATACAAAAAAAAGAGTTATGAATCTCTCGCGTGATAAAATTGTTAAGCGACGAAGTGCTCATCGCTTTCGCAAGTCTTAAAGAACTCTCGGCAAGAGTTTCCATTTCTCTGTCTCTTTTCTAAAGAGACACTTGGGAGAACGTCGACTGCGACAAAATGCCGCTCGAGAAACGGGTGAAAAATTGAGAGCCTCCTCGATTTTAATCGCGCGAAGAGGGGCTCTTAAACTCGAACTAACTGAGTAACATGGAAAATCAATCGCGATGAGCGTAACGCTTGTCCTCTAATTGAAATGATCGAGATACTTCGGAAACTCTTAACGCGCGGAGAAGAGAGCGCGGAATGTCGAGAAATTCGATTAAGATATAAAGAAGGGAAGCCCCCCCTCTCCCCCGTCTCTTCTCTCTAATCAGTTTGTTCCGAGAGAAAGGACTTACAATATATATATATATATATCTGCTCCAATATTCTAATTTCAACCAGCTGTTATTAATCATTGTCACTTGCTTGTGATTGTTTGTCGCGCCAATTTGCTTCGGAAATCCCTTGTTTACGCGCTTTTTTTTGTTTGCTTTAATTTATAAATGTAATTAATTTTCGTATCAGTGGTAATTAATTTTATTAATATTTGTTACAAACAACGATCAAAGCGGCAAAAGATAATTGAGATATTGATAGCATTCGAGGTCAAGATATGTGTGATGTGTCCGACGTGACTAATCGTAGTTTGTTTAGACAAAAAGCATCGTAAAATTTAATGAAATTAAAAGTGTTATTTTTAAGTATTATTTTTTTTTTTACCGTTCTGATTAGCCGTAATTTGCCAGAAGCCCTTTCTTCTGATATCTTTTAGTTGGAAAGTGTACTCTACATTCCCAGCCTCTTCGGTCCACAGCAGCCTCAAAATTTGATGCAGCTCCGCCGTGTATTCGTTACGTTGTGATGATCTCAAATTCACGATCGGACACGCGTTGACCACTTGCGAATTGGTCCCCGTCGACTTCTTCAGCGGATCCCCTCTGTGTTCCAATATTTCCACGACGTACCATTTGCCCATTATCTGCAACGATATATTTGCGTGAAAAGTTTATGGACAACATTGTGACAGTATAAGTAAAAAACATCCGCAAGTTGCATAAAAACTATTATTCTTTTAATGCTTTTCGCATTAAAAATTCTTTCTCTCTCTCTCTCTCTTTCTCTTCTAATACAATTTTTATTTCACTGAGAAAGAAGATGTTTTTCCGAAATCATCCGATGCTACAGTTAAAAAAAATCCGGTCAAAGGAAATTTCGCTCGAAAAAAAATATTAGTTTTTTTTTATTATTTAAGGTCGAAAATTCCTACTCCTTTAACAATAAATTGTCTGACGTTGAAGATCAAAAAGTCGCAGCCGAAAATTGAATTTGCATTCGGGAAAAAAAAAAAAAAATTAGCTCTAAATTTCGTTCAAGGAGGAAGAGAAGCGGCGGAGCGCATGCAAGTCTCTCGGATACGAGAGAGAGAGAGAGGAGCCGACCGCCGAAGGTAATCCCGGAACTTCGGCGAAGGTAGAGTATAGATAATTCCGTGAGGAGCTTAAAGCAAATTACGGGCGATTTATTGGCCGGGCGACCGTTAGTGATTAAGCCCGTGGAAATAATATCGGACGAGAGGCTGAATAATCACTGAATCCCGATCGGTATAATGCGAGGAGCGCGGAGGTTTTACTTTTTCAAGTCGATCGTTCCCGATTTTACGCTCTCGTGAAATCTTACTAATCGGATTGGGCGGCACACGATATCCGAAAATTTCTTCGGTAATAACCTTCTTTATATATGTTCGCTCGAAATTTGTTTCTTTTTATTATCTTCCAAATTGTCCATTATAATTCGGCTCTTGATTATTTCAATTATAATTTCAAATTTTCAATTTGCGTTCGTCTTTTGGTTAGGTTTTTTTTTTTTTATCAATTATAACTCAAGGGAGGATATCTCGATCGTCGGAAAGATCGGCGTCGTCTGACAAAAATATTGTAGCAATTTGTCAAATCTTAATCAGGCCGCGGTTTGACGTTGACTAATGCGTGTTGGAAAATTTGGTCCGCAGATGTATATACGCGGGTAGGGAAGTCAATCGTTAAACGAAAAAAAATTAGTCTCAACAACTGGTCGAGGAAAATTGGCGGTTTGTCGGTCTCGGTTTCAGTAATAGTCTCCGAACAGCGTAGACCGCAAAATCGGTCCCAGGGCGCCACGCCACGTTGTGGAGAACTAAAAGTTAATTTTGATGATCCTCCCGGGTAATGTCGAGCAACGTGGCGGTTATTTGTGAAGAAACTTGACCTCCCCTTTCCCCACCGCCACGTGGAAAGGAACTTTCGCTATGTAATAAATGCAGTACACTTTTCACGTTATCGCGGTGAAAACTCGGCTTCAACTTCGGTTGCGCAATATGGGGCGGGTGTTGTAGCGAAGTTCCGTATCATGCGCGGGGCATAGTTGTTTATTCAGTTCGCTTTGTATATTTAACACGACTTTACGATACCCGACGTTAACCCCATTGAAGACGCTTTAGTTGCGAAGTTGATGTTGCAGTGATGCGGATTATCAACTTGTTGAACTCGGATGGAGGGGGCGGAGGAGGGAGGGAGGGTACGATATACTCGGGGTTTTGCCTGCGGGGAATTCTAAAGACAGTTTCGATGTACGATGACCACAATAAGCCTGCGGGGACTCCTATAAAGGATTCTCATCGTTATTATGAGCTTTTGAGTTATCAATGAGTTTCAAGTTCTCGTAAATGCAGACTTCAGAAATATTCCATAGGAGAGAAGTTTATTTTTTATATTATTTTATTAACTTATCAGATCTTTTATCTCTCAGAAGGGTGATTTTTTTTCGAGACCCGATTGGATCGTTGACCTAGTAGTATTTTTTTTTTTTTTTTTTATATAATTTAGATGCTTCGAACTTTTTTTTTATCAGAAATGTAGTTTTAGTGAAAAAAAGATATTTGGAATATATTTTAAATGTATGCAAAAGTGCGGAGAGAGCGAGATTTGAAAATCTCTCAGCAAAAAAATCGATTTCACATCGAATAACAGTTTGAATTCACGCGCATTACGCACGTGTGCGTGTGTATTCGTGTGCGTTACCCCACTTTTGTCGTACCGGAAAAGCGCCGTAAATCATTGTCGTCGAGGCATATAAGTAATACTAGGTCACAGCGTGTGGCCAGGGGGGATTAAAATTAACGAGATAATAAATACGGCCTTTGTCGAATTGGACTACAAAAAAATATCAATTGCCATATCGAGGAAAATCAGGGTGGCACGAATGCGACGCTCGCGGCGGCATTTGTTGGAAATTGCATTCTTTTTTGTAACAACCTTCGCAAATTGCAATATATAACGTCGATATTATTTGAAAATCATCAGTGACATGTCGCAAAATAAAAATTACACAAATACGTATATTCTAATAACAATTTATATTTTTTTTTATCATCTATTTGTGCTTCTCAATTTTACATGAAACTAAATTTCGATAAAGTTTTTGATCTTCGTGCAAGAAACTTTACGATACGCATGTAATAATGAACTTTGAGAAGTTCTTTTGTCATTTGATGTTACACACACACACACACACTTGCGCATCAAAATTAAGGGGAAGTTTAATCAGTATAGCTCAAAAAAGACGAGAGAGACCGTTCGAGACTGATAATCCCGCATCATCATCGCCGCGCTCTGGCCTCGTAATTTATACATCGCTAACAATATAAACGCAATCCTTTACCCTTCATTCAACTTGCGAAAGTCGTTAGAAAAGTTTAATTGATACCGGCCACTATTTACGTGTGACGCGATTAAATTACAAGAGTTCGCATAAACACATTATTACCGATTATATCGGTATGATGTGATCAAAAACATCGCGCTAAGTATATTCACAGAAATACACGTGTATCTGACAAAAAAAAATTATCACAGTTGCAAACAATATAAAGCAAAATATATCAGAAGAGAAATTAAGTTTTGTAGCGAAATTCCACAAATACATACGTGATTATTTTCTGAATAAAAATGCGATGTGAAAAAGACGAAAAAAAAGAATAAATAAAACCTGTAGAAATGTAAATGAAAAACTCAAATACACAGATACTTCCTATAAAGGTGCTTTACAAACAATTTTATTAAAACGCGCAAACGCGCACGTGATTGATAATATACTGCGACGCGGTATCAGTTACAAAATCTTTCCTATAAAATATCATCATCCAAAATGTTACTTTATATATCATTTTGATAAAATTTATTATTTCAATAAAACCACAGTAATTAACTGATTGAATTTCGTTACAAACTTAATTTCTCTCTTAATATATTTTGCTTTACATTGTTTTGCGACTGTAATAATTTTTTTTTTTTTTGTTAGACACACGTGTATTCAATTTTATATTTTTATATATACAAAATTTTTCGGTTTTTTAGTCATAAAACTCGATACGTCTAGTAACGAGAAATCGCGTTATTTATAGATAAAATGGACTGATATATTCACACCGCCGCGTCCGAGGACAACGGCAAATGTAATAACTATTTTGGTTTTTTGCGTGCGCATATTGAAAGCACAGCCTACATGAAATAGTATAACAATCGCGGGAGGGAAGGGGAAGAGGAGGAGAACTTTAAAAGCCCAAAGTGTTCCCCCGAATAGCCTTATATCCTTTTTTTTTTTTTTGTTACTAGATTTAACGTTCATTTATATTTTAACCAACAGTTTTTCACGTGGGAAGATTTGCCGCATAAAATCGGATAAAAACCGACGCTTGGACCACAGCGATTTTAAACCCGACGCATTGCCAAAACTAATCCGTGCGCGCGCGCTACTTGCGCGCTAATCCGCTTGAGAAGACACACGTTTTTCTCTCTCTCTCTCTCTTCTCTCTCGAAACAAACGCATTCTCGCTCGTTTAAATCGGTAGAAAGAAGAATTAAAATTAATTTATGTTTGCTTTGAAACAAAGATACATTCGCAATTAAAGGAACGTTCTATTTTAAATTTGATATATCGATGTACACCGGTGTAATGTGTCATGAAACATTCTCTTTGTGCGCAATAATAATTATTGCTGTCCAAGAAAATTACCGATTAAAATCCGGCAGTTGCGCGCGCGCGCGCGTGCGTAAATTCGCGAGTTATAATTACAAGCCAAATGCGCGACGCGCGTTTTGTCTGCGGCGACGCGACGGCGGACAAAATTGCCGACAAATAAACCGACGCGTCGCGTGAGAATAAATTTTCGTTTATTAGACACTCCACCGGACGCGCGCACACACACACGCAAACGCACACACACACCGCACACAACTCGCGCGAGGGCACAAACGTGGGTCTGTAACTTATGCATTCGCTATCGTAACGAGAACGTCAGCGTTTCCGCGAGAATATTGCAGTAATTAGTAGTGAGGTAAATTACCGCGCTCTCTCGCATACGTTGTGTCTAATAGCGGGTAATTCTCGTAATGAAAAAAAAAAAACAAAAAAAAAAAAAAAAACCAGAGAACAATAGAAAGTGAAGCGCGAAGTTTTTTTTTTCGCCGGTTTACACGTGCCTCGTTTCTGCTGCCTCATCGATCACGCGCGCGGAGCAGCCATCCAACTATATTCTCGCAGCTCTGCCCGAACTCGGTTCGCTACTCGGCGCGCATCCACTCGTTTCGAAAAAGCCTCTTCTGGGAAAGCGCATACTTCGCATGCCTCATGCGCTTCCCCGGAATATATATACACATATTCCGGAAGTGGAGGTGCAAGAGCCGGAGTATTTATTCGTGTATATATCTGCTCTCTTTATCGAAGGTGCTTTCCTCTTTTCGTCCTGGGGGAGGGTGTAATAACGCGCATTTTTGCAAATTGAAGTTGCGGCGCAAACTTATCAAAAAACCGTCTCTTCTAGTCGCCGTAAACTTTTCCGCCGACTCGAACGAGAGAGAGAGAACGTGACCGTGGGATTCGTCGTCGGTCGTCCCTACGATAGTTTCGGGTCTGTCAGCTGGCAATTTTTCCGAAAGACGGTGC